TATACCTTGAGGCACCTTCGTTTTCATCCGTGGGGGTGGGATCAATTTATTTTTATCGTAGTTGTGCTGTCCAGCGCTGAGACACTTCGCCCTTCCAAATCAAAGGCGACTGCTAGCGAGCAGGAGGACGAAATGAGGGGGCCATCAGAGAAATAAGTCCCACCGAGATTGGCAGGGACTAAAGAGAATCCCATTTCTCCAAAGTCAATAAATAGAATAAGAAAGTCTGCCCAAGGCATGTACCAAATATTTCACATACCCCCACCAGGTCTCTGGCTCCGCAAAGAAACTAGCTAAAACAGAGCTCGCATGAATTGCTCCTAACATAGGGGATTGCCTCATCCGCACCGCCAGCAAGCCTTTCTACAGCGAATATTCAAGGAGAACGTTTATTTAAAAGGAGTATTCGGTCCAGCGATTGTAAGGAATCGAAAGCTAAGCGAAGACCATCTATCCCTACCCCCTAAGCCACTGTTGTTAAAAAACCAATGCAAAAGATAAAAATAAATGAATAAGGCAGAACGAGAATAAGCCAAATAGTCCCTCATTGAACCAACTTGAATCTTCACTTCTATTTAGAACGCAAAAGCCCATCTTTTTATTTATATGTCTAAGGAATTATGGATTTTTCGATTGCTCCTGATAAATGGGTCGTAGCATTGAATGTACTCTCGAGTGATCGAATGACTCTCTATGACACAATTACTTACCTATGGATGGAGCGATCCCCCTCGTAACCAGGATTATATCACGATCGATTGAACATCTAGTGAACGCTTTAGTCTTGTCTCATCCGGATTTATTTACTCCATAACTAGCTTACTGAGCGAATCCGAATTCATTTCGAGACGTGGAGACTGTTCAAACTGAGTATGTTGGAATCTATCAAGGTTTTTGGCTCGCAATAAAGCTAGGGGTCCTGATCGAGCAACTAGTAGTCTATCTATCCACCTCTCCAGACACAATATCTTGAGTACCTATGATGGTGACCACATCTGCTGGCATGTGATGTTTGGACATAGAATCGAGTCCTTGTGAATGGGCAGAGCCAGGTGCTCTTATTTTACGACGGTAGGGACGATTGCTTCCATTACTGACCAGAAAGACACCAAATTCTCCTTTAGGTGCTTCAACTGCGGGTATAGGTAGAAGAAGCTGGTACGGAAAAACCTTCTGTATAAAGTTCGAAATGGTGAATTGAGGTAGAGTAGACTGATGATACCTGTAGTCATTTGGCCGGGAAAGAAAAAGCTTGCATCTGCTTCCCCTATTATATAACCGGTCCCATCTCTCTCCAAACCTAACGTGGTAGTTTCCCATCTAGGGCTTTCTATCTATAGATTTAAGCCATTACCAAGGAGCTAATTCGTTCAGAACTCAGTTTACTGCTTCTATAGATAAGGCGGAGCGTCCTTGGCTCAGCATTATAGCACGCACATAGGGCTTCGGCGCTAGCTCATTCCGTTGCTTGTTCGCTTTCTCAGTAGCAAAAGCGCTTCTCTTTGCCCCATTTCTAAATAGTTTCTTTAGACAAGAAATATATGATTTTTTTATTGCTCCCGCTTCCTCATCTGTGCTCATCAAGCCAACTTTGCTCTTTGGGGGGTGAAACAGCGGTTGAAGCGGACATTTCGAATGACAGCATCGAATATATATGTATATATATACACGGTTACGGTTATCTCGGACTGCGTTCTGGAAAAAGCATCCTACTTGTGGGGCACTGTGTACTTACAGCCTATACGATAAGCAAGTGAATGGGGCCGGGTTCATCAAACCATTTTTCGCCCTAAATAGGGGTAATTTGTTCGCACCTGACTGTGATAGCCCTCTCGATACCTTATTGTAGCTTTGTAACTAGTGCCCGTCGCTAGAGCGTTTTCCCAGTGCGCGGAGCCCCAACGAGGAAGGTGTTAGTGGTTTATCAATTGGGTCAATAATGCTAATCCCCTCTTTTTGTGCTACTCCTAGGGCGGGAAGAAGATAAGAAAACGCCAAGTGTTCTCTTGCTTTCCCAACCTGTTGTTTCTAAAGACTGCCCTCTCTCGGCTGGATCTTGGTCCAGCCTAACTATGAGAATCCCGTATCCAGCAAACCCAACCTATACAAAGGGCATCAAAGCCCCCTTTACTAGGTTGGAGCTATAAAGCTTACCGCCCCGTGGGTTATTATTATGAATAAGGGAAAGGGCTTTTTTCAGGCTGGTGCGCAGGAGCGCACTTCCGTTTTCCCTTTACTAGTAGGGGGTCCCGTGGTTCCTATGCCGCCGCGTTTCCCGGTCCTTTTCTTTTAGTGCTTCGACCCGAAGCGATAGCTTCTAGCTAGTTCAGTGGATAAGATGGCTTGCGCTCCAGCTCACTCAAGAATGGGACGGCAAGTGGTCCGCCGGCAAGCTCGTTCTGATCTTGGGCGCAGTACATTGGAATCCTGAAGCACCACCACGAACGCTACCGCGCGTCCGCCTGCGGTGCGGTAAGGCACCACCTGTTGTGCCAGCAGCCAATTCCGGCGTGTCAGCTTAGTTATCCTCATCAAGCCACTTACTTGATGTCTAGCTTCCCAACTGGTAGACGGTTCCTTTTCCCCCAGATCGATGAAGAAGGGAGACGTCAGTTTATTATTCCGAAGAACCGGAAGCGAAACGCTATGCCGGGGCGGGGGGGACGGGAAAAGAAACGGCTCCGAAGAAATAAATTGGGGGTTCCCAATGCTTCTCCACGCTTAACGAGATGCGCCAACCTCGGGATGCTTTACTCCTAACCCCACAAGGTTCCGAGACGGAGCTTAACCTGAGTCTCGGTTAAGAACGGCGGATGATCTACGTTTCACACGGCGCACGATTCCATGGATAGTTTCATTCGAGATCGTGATGGAGGACACAGCTTACGATCATCGGATTTGATCATGCCACTAGGCATTTGATTAAGACATTGCACAATGATCCGAACACTTTGTCGCATCTCTTCGATACGAATACAGTAACGATCATAGCGATCTCCTCTGGTACCTACTGGTACGTCAGGATCCAATTGGTCATGAACATCGTAAGGTGCTGCTTTTCGCAAATCCCAGCATACCCCTGAACCTCTTAACATTACACCACTGAATCCCCAATCCTTTGCTTGCTGTGCAGTGACAGTACCAATATCCACTAATCGTTGTTTCCAGATACGGTTGCCGGTTGACATCTCTTCTAATTCGTCGATACGAGAAGCAAATTGTTTGTGTGAAGGAATCAATATCTCTACATAAGCCAAGAGGAAGATCTTAGTGCCACCTCCACCTGGTCGTATGAAACTGGCATGCATCCTGGCTCCCGAGACTCTTTCATAGAATTCCAACAATTTCTCCCGCTCCTCAAAAGCCCACAGGAACGGAGTTGATGCTCCCACATCCATAGCATGAGTAGTTAAAGCAAGTGAATGATTTGAAATTCGAGTTATTTCACGGAATAACACTCGTATATATTGAGCTCGTAATGGTACCTCGCAATTCAAAAGTCTCTCTACGGCTGAAGAATGAGCGTGTTCTTGGGCCATCATAGAAAACATAGATAGGGTCGACGACGGAACGAACAACGAAACTTTACGACAGCTTTTTCGTACACGTTCACTTGCATCACATACACAAGTGCTCTCTGAACCGTGCAATAAGGTCACCCATAACACGGCTCTCCCACTTGAGTTATCTTAGCCCCAGGCCATGCTATTCAATAATATAGGAAAAAAGGGTAACAACTAGTATTGAAAGCTGGTCGCCTTTGGAATATGAGTAGGGCTCCGGACGTGGCGCGTTCGTGGAGGCAAACCGAATAAAGAGCAAAAGGAAGGTTGGGTGCTTGTGGGGCGAGGCCATCCGCCTCGAATAGAGGGGGCTTAGCTCCTGGATCCTCCCTGCTTGCAGAAATGAATGGATCAGAAGGGGGCTTGGTTCTCTATTTCCGGGCCCGGGCGGGAGGTGAAGGCCATAAGAGAAGATTGCCCCTCCCGGTAAGGAAGAGGGGAAAAAAGGTGCTGTCATCTATCTCGACCAGTTTCCCCGAGGCCCTTGGAAATCCAGACCGGCTCAGAGAATCACTTGCACTATTTGGCCCTTCGTTTTCGCCAAAAATTCATCCTTTACGATTTCCCATTCCTTCCCTGCCCGAGCCGCCTCTCTTCGCCATTCGATGCTTCCGCCTTCCCTTTCTATAACATACCCAGGCGCCCTCCTTTCCCATCACTAATAAAAAAAGAAATACCAATAAAAGGGTTGGGTGTGGCTAAGTAAAGCTTCGTCTATGATTTCCAGGGGGAGTTGACTTGACCCATTCCCCAGTCTCCCGCACTGCTAAAGTCAGTGGTGCGACTCCGAATGAGGACCTCTTTCTCTTCTGCCCACTCTCCGTTCACACGGTTCTCAAAGCAGAGGAGGAAGGGTGGGCAGCAGGTACCACGAGCCCTCTGTCCCACACATCTATCCAGAAGCAAGTGTAGTTCACCGGTTCCACCGAATGCTCCTATCTCTCGGCAAAGATCGTTTTGAGTGTGCAGTTATGCTTCGGATGCTTCGCCATAGAATAGATCGACCCAGTTCCCGTTCTTTTCCGGTGCACTCGCTTTATATCTCCGACACACAAGGAAGACGCGGTGGGAAGAGAAGCAGCCCTAGCCTCTGTCCGGCCGATCATTCCGCTGGCATCTCGCATTCACGCCCCCGTTTGACTGCCGCTCGGGGATGTAGTTGTAGATAGGTTAGTCTTAGTGGGTCGTTGGCTCCACTTGTTATCTCCTTCTACGACATGCTGTTGTCGTCGCCATATTCCATATGTCACTTAGTCATCTCTGCCTCGCTGCGGAGAGCGGTCAGCACCTCCGAAAGAAACGGAGGACTTCATTCAGTGACCCCGCGATCGCCCTCTGAACGATCAGAATAAGGTAAAGCTTGAAGATAAGTTTTGTACTCTATTAATTTCTCAGTCCCTCTAGTCGGGTGGGTGCTGGCCGGTTTTTCGACCAGATCCCCCTTAAAACCGTACGTGCGGGTCTCCCCGCATGCGGCTCACGCCATTCGAGGTGGCCCAGCCCAGCATTCATTCGCAAATCCTGTAGTGAAATTGAGACTGCTCAACCTCGGAAGCCTAATTCGCGTGTAGGCAGCGCTGTCTGTCGTACCGTTGACTCTATCTATTCATTTAATTTGCTTTATTGCATTTCGCGAGCTCTTTTTCCAAGAATTTTCCACTCCCCGTCGAATGACCCGGCCTCCCCTGGCTCTTCCACCGTCCGGGCTCCCTTTCCTCCCTATGCTATGCTCCCCCCGGCGCAGGCCTACCACGCTTCGCGCCTGCGGCGTTTTCGCCAGACGGTCTTTGCCAGTAGTGCCATCCTCCCCGCTGGCTGTATGGGCGGGTTGTCCCTCGCTGCTGCATTCTGTTAGGCTATGGATTACAGGAACAAATGTAGTTGAATGGAACAGCAGGCGGGTTACACGTTCCACTGTGCCGAGATGTGAGGTGCAGGTGGTGATGATCACCCCGGGGTATGCGTTAGCGCCCTTGACAGGCACTCCAGAACCCGCCAACGCTCGTGAAACCCCGGGTCCGGTCGGTCCTCCATTCATCCGACCGGGGTTATGGATAACGAGGCCACCTTCACAACCTTCTCCCTTCTGTCCCTATGCTGTAATAAGGTAAGGCGGTTCGCTTGAGTTGCTCAACCGCCCCTTAGCCCGGTGCTCATGACGCGCTACGGAACCTCCACCGTGCCGGGGGGACCAAGCAGGGCATAGCTAGCGGCATAGGAGCCGACTCGGCATCAGCGGCTTCGTGCCGCACTGGAGTGATCCAAATATGTGGTTCCGCACGTTCCACCACTTCTCCGTTCATTTCCAATACTGATCGTGAAACACCATGAGCAGCAGGATGTTGAGGTCCGAAATTCGAAGTGAAATTTTTGATTTGCCTGTTCCTAATCGTCATGGGAAAGAAAGGCAGAAATAAGAAAGATATTATTCCCTGAGAGCTTGTCCAATACCACCAGTACCATAAATGCATCTCCTTCGCCCGCGCGAGAGACTTCTATGCCAGCCGGGAATCACGGCTCTGTTATGAAAGAAAGCGGCAGACAGACTACCTGCCAAAAAAAAGGTAGTCTTTTATGATCGGCTTAAGGAGACCGGGGTCCCCCCCTTATTTTATCCGCCCTGTGCCTAACCATGGGTATAAAGTAAGTACCCCCTCTCCCTACGGTCGAGTCTATTCTAACCTCTCCTTCTCTCCTTTCAGTCGAGTATAGTATCTTCTCCCCTCTCCTTATCAGTCGAGTCACTTCGTACCTCTCTCTAACAGTGATGAGTAGTAGTGAATAGTAGAGAGAGAAGAGGCATAAGGAAAATGGAAGGGCGGGTACGCCTCCGTGGAGCGGGGGAAGGCAATTTTTTTCCCTATAGATCAACGGAGAAGTGGAGGACAGGCCCCTGTTAAGGAAAAAACATCCTTCTGTTAGTGACTTGGCTTAAGTTATTTAAGGCCGGCCAGACGGATTGCGCCTCTCTCGAAGCCAGCCCTTTTATCCCAAAGCAAAAGAGAGAGCGTCTAGCGGTCTTATGAATCAATCAAACCAAAAAGAAGTTTTTGGACTATTCCCTAACAGGGTAAAATGTCCTTACATACGATATTACTTCTTACGTACTTTCTTTTTCTTTACTTACTTTATTACTTATGCAATTCTTGTTGGTCAACTGTCTCTTGATTTTCAATTCGCTGACCGCTGCCCCTTATCGCTGATGTGTGGTCTATTGCCTAAGAATGCCTAACCCCAATAAGCCAGCTTATCGAGGGAAGCTAGTCAGTCCGGTCTAATCATATAAAAAAAAGTATTTGCCCAGTAGTGGCTCAACAAGTAAATAAGAAGGTAGTCGAGGACTATCCTAAGTCTTACGCTTCATGATGGCATTTAGATGGCTCTGCTCTATAGCCAGAGTAGAGTAAGGGGGAAAGACTCAAGTACAGTGAAAAGAACATTGGAACTAGGGAATCCAGCTGCCATTTCGCTAGATACCAGAAAGATGGGGAGGAAAGTTCTATCCAGTTGTTGGCGCCGGCGCTAAAGCGAGGAAGGGGTGCGTCATCATTTAGTTAGCAACGGAAACTGGTGAAATTGACCTAAATACGCAGGTCTAAATAGAACACTAAAGGCTTATGCCTTCACGACGTAAGGAGCGAAAACAAAATACCCTTCGTCAGCCTTTCCATCGATAGAGACATCGCCCGACCAAATACAATGTCCCAAAACGATCTAGTCAGCCTGCAGGCAACTGCTATAGATGACGCGCCTACCATGACCAGTTCAAGAGGAAGGTCACAGTAAGGGGAGAGAACACCCGGACTGTCTACTCTTATGTGTGTGGCCATGGGGCTTTCCCTTCATATCACAGCCGTAAAGTCTATAAGGATAAAGTATTGGCTAAGCACCTTTGGGCGGCCCCCTCTTAGTTCAATTTCGCTCGAAAGAAATGGTAATCTGTCTTCCCTTCATTTTTAATTCACTTATCTTCTCTTCTTCTTCGATTCCTTTCCATTAATAAAGGAGGAAATACTAGATATAGACTAAATCGGAATGAATAAGATATGAATGGAAACCTAAAAACAACCAACACACCTAATAGGACTGCGATAACGTCCATCCCTATGGAAATTTTCTCGAACTCGGAGTAGCTCTTTATATATTTTAGATTATGTGGCATTGGAGGTCATGGAGCTTTCTTTCTAAGACATCCACTTTGACCCGGGGAGGCAGAAGGTAATCACGAATTAGTGTGTTTTTCCCGTTTCCCCCATTCGATTCAAAATTACGTCGCTTTAGATCAAGAATTCTATTGATTTCCTCATCGGAGACATTGCTCGCCCCTGGACCCTGTCGATACACAAAAAAACCTATTCCTGATTACATATTTGACTGATTCCATATCAGGTTCCGCTGGCTGAATAGCCGGAAGCGGATTAGCAGCAGCAGCAAAACAAAAGACGGTTGAATCTTGGTAGTTGTGGTCGTGACAGGCACTCGGGCTGACAGCCATCTTAGTTGTGAGGTAGTCTATTTCGTTGAAGTAGCGGGTCTCCCCCATCTGGTACTTCTCGTTCTAGTAAACGAAGGAACAATCTTTCTAGGAATAACCTTTTCTGTAGTTGGACTACCAGGATTATTCAATAGTAGTAGGTTCACCTCTAATACTAATAAGAAAAGGGCTTCCCCTTAGACCTTTAGACCTGACCAAGAGAAGTCAACACCGGTAGCCCTCAGAAAGAAAGGTCCCTCGAGCTTTATTAGTAGTTACACGAGTGCTCAGATCAATACCGAAACACATATGGAGTGCCTGGCCTGGACCACAAAGAAAGAGCACAAGCAGGACTCCCTGCACCCGCGTGAGGGATGACTTTGAATCCATACCGAAGAGAATGGACGACTTGAAAAGGTCTCCATAGACAAAGAGACGATCTACACCGAAACAGAGAAAATACATTAGGAGCACTCATTCCTTGTACCGGGGAACTTATGAATAAGGAAGGGGATCTACACCAGAAAAGGAGTTGACTCCCATATAGACACTTTCACTCACATTGCTTTAGGCAGTACTCTTCTTACTAAAGAAGAATACTTCCTTAAATAGGGAGCAAATCCGTCACTGGACGAGGAAGGAAAGGAAGATCTGTACAATAAAGTAGATTAGAAAGCGTTAACAAGACTATCAGACCAAGAACAGAACTGCTGGAGGAACAACTACCTAAGGCTTAAAATGACATAGAATAAGTGGAATCTCATGCAAAACTGTGAGGGAGGTGGTTAACCGGTGCTTAGAGAACTACCTGGGATGCTTTACAAGCGATAGACCAAAATCAATTAAATATTCTAAATGAATCTAATCCCATCCCCTACGGACAAGGGTGAATACCCGTAAGTGAGTTCGCGCAGGAGTTTCTTGCTCTGATTCTGTAGCGGGGAGTTTCCTTGTGTTGTGGAGTTGTGTGGTAAGCTTTTCGGCTTCCATCCACTGGCGACCTCAAAGCATTATTTTAAGCGCATTCCTTGTCCTTTAGCCTTATAATCGTAATCGGCCTGAAAAAGAAAGTAATAAAGAGTTCAGGGCTTAGAAGATGCAAAGCTTTCATCCGCATTCCGTCTGTGTTCTATAATAAAAGTCCTTCCATTAGATAATAAAGCTCAGTTTCCAATCTTCTTTTTCTTAAAGAATAGGAGCGAGACTTTCATAGTGAAGGGAGAGGCGAAGCCTAGTAACACAGCATCATGGTTTAGCCTAGCCCTTAGTTCACCGCTTTCACATGGCAGAACCCATCACAGCACAGGGAGTCTGGCGCCCCTATACACTCATATCTCGACTTGACAACCAAAATTGCTTCAAAATGTAAATTTGTAGATCGATGGTGGGGATGAGCCCATGTGTACGCCTAACCTTCGGCCACCCCTAAATGGCACTAATAAGCACACAAGACACATAGGTCTAGGGATGCCTGTTTGACTAGGCGCGATAGAATACTCAACCAAGCATTAAGCTCGATGGATTACTCCCGCACCAGATAGTTATCAGCCGCAAGGTTGCCGGCATGCCCCAATGATAAGGTACTCTCAAATCGAATATCTCGTGGCACCACATCTTTAGACAAAGGGGCAGGTTTAGCTATAGCCCAGTCAACTGTTGGAGGCAAAGACAAATAAAAAACGGAAAAGCCGAGTACACTGCATCTCCAGTGAACCATCCTACTAAGGTTTCACGAAGTAAACACATACGTTTCACCAGCTAGGGACCATGTTCAGTCCATGCCAATAAACAACAGGAGCTCGCGGTCTATCAGCACTTTAAGGGCTACACAATGGAGATCGGATCGGCCTCGTAATGGAGGGCTCCCCGAAGACCTTTTCCTTGGACCTAGCCTATCGATCAAAAATCCTACGCTAGCATGCCTACCCGCACTACGCCCCCACTCTCTACTATTGGTGGCTAATGGGTCCCTTCTCTCGCGTATCCTGTCTTTTCGGATCGGCACCTGGCCTCCCATTTCTTATGAGACGGCAAACGAATAACTTATCTTTATCCGGGTATTGAATTGCGCGAAGAGTTTGAGGCCCGGTAAGGGGATAGCGGGTCAATGCCTTCTGCTCTTTCCGGTAAGTGAGTAGGGCCAGTCCCACACGATTAGCATAGATAAGACAAGTCAGGTAGGATTGGTCGGAGAAGGATGAAAAACCTTGTGTGAAGGAAAGGCTGTTTCAGTTGCTGTTTACGCGCTTCACGTCGACTAGGAGAAGAAGTCAGGAAAGTCCCTACTATACTTGTCTAAAAGACGAAAAGATGGATGAGCCACTCTCTCCATCCGACTCAGCTTAGCCTTTACCTGGGCACCTTTGCCTTCTTTCCTTGCTTTGGTGCTAGCGTATATAAAGTAGTAGACCCCGGCTCCTTTTTAGCTTTCTGTGGTATGGCTCTTATAACTCTTAGTAGCTGTTCTCTCCTTCCCTTTCCTTATTCCTTATCCTTAAGGAATTGGATATAGAACCGTTAGGAGTAGGGAGCATTCGTTAACAGAGATGGATTGGCTTCGGTTGACCTTCTTACTATGGGAATGCTTGAAAAAGCTCTTATTCCAATAAGCTCGTGACTACTCTAAGAGGTAGCTGGGGACAAAAGGAATAAGTGCTCAAAGCGTTGATCAGCTGCTCTATTGGACTTATTTCCTTGGCGAGAAGGGTTAGCAGGGAAAGCAGCCTTGTTGTTGATTAAAGTAAAGGACCAGGGGTCTAGCGCTTTTGTTTTGTGGGAAGATACTTTAGTCATTTGATATCCATATTCAAATACCTAATGATTTACAAGCTGCGGTTCGCACCCTGCAGCCCCATTTTATAAGTGCGTTTGAACAATACCTCTTGGTACTTATCCTTTAATAAAAAAAAAAAAAGTACTCAAGACAAGTGCATACCTTTAGGGTATAATATGTCATGATCTAGTGGGGATTAAATCCTTTATACTAGATTGATATATCATAGTCCCGGATGTCTGGCTTCGACATACTGTACCATCTATGGCCATCGGCGCCGGTACAGGGGGCAAAAACGTCGGAGTTTCCAATAGCACAGACTATTATAACGGATTTTGTATATCAGGGGTGACGATCTCAGAATC